CGTCACATGGCAAAATATATGAATTTTTTGAAAAACAACTACAGAATTATCCCCACATTCACACTGATTATAAATACGCTGATTGAAAAAATTTCAATGATGGATATTCAACTTTTTTAATATCCAAATTTATTAATTCTCAAATTCAAAAACTTCACAATAGTTGAAGAAAAAGTTATTGAGAGAGTAAAAATACAGTTTCCTCTCTCCCAGAGCGATGGATCACGGATTTTCTTTTCTCATGGTGCGTTTTTCATTTGATAAGGATGCGAATAAATTGTCCTTAACCCCATTATTATTACTAATAAATTTATGAACACTGAAGATATTTAAAAAATGCAAGAGCATTCTCTTTATCTTGAAAATGATACAATTTTTCATTTTTCAATTTTTCATTCTTCTGATTCAACATTTTTTCTATGACTTGATGCTTTGATTGTTGGAGCCATTGGCAATTCCAAATCTCTAACAACAATGAAAATGGCCAAATGATACTGAATATTGTTTTCACACAGATATATTGCTCTAAGAATATAGAGAAGAACAAAGATTTTGTTTACCATTTAAGAATTCAGCAGAGGAGCTGATGCAAGAGATCGACATTTGGAGGTTATATCACTATTTACACTTGATCCTTCATTGAACGAATGGTATATACACTATTGATTTAAGGGGAGAACATTTGAACAATTAATTTATAACTTGGGAAGATTATTATGGATTTATTACTGCTCGGAGTGGAGGACTACAAATATTTATGCATATCAACATGGGAAGTATGAACCTCAGGGCTGGCCAATTGTGTACTGGAGCTCAATCAGCTGACAATGCACATGGTGCCCAATTTGATATTTCTCCCATGGAAACCAATTTTTTTTGGTGGCATGTTTTTTTTTATCGAATTATTGTTGTCAACACTATCACATCCCCCTCCCTCATCATCTATAATCAATTGGGGATTTCTTATATGAATAAATCTTTGTAAAACCGCGACCAAAATGGATCGCCCTAGCCATGAATACTGTGAATTTATGTTTAAAAAATTGAAAATTCATTAAAACAAATTTTTTCAAATCACTAACTATTAACACTATAACTTCCCCCTCCCCCCTCATCTATAATTAATTTGCAATTTTCTTTCATTCACATAACTTTGGAAAATCACTCTCTAAATAAATCATCCTGGCCATGAATACTCTAAATTAATTTATGAAAAATGGAAAACATTCAAGAAATTTTTTTTTAACAAATTAATTTTGTCAACACTATCACTCCCCCCTCCTCCATTATCTACAATCAATTGGGGATTTTTCCTATGCACGAAAATTTGGAAAATCACCCCCCAAGTGGATGACTCCGACCATGAATACTCTGAATTAATTTTTGAAAAATAGAAAAATTATTAAGAACAATTTTTTCAAGGCATTCTTGTTATAGAAACTATCCCTCTACCCTCCCCCATATTCTATAATTAATTTGGAATTTTTTCTATCCATGAAACTTTGGAAAACCACCCTTAAAGTGGACTACTCCGACCATGAATACTCTGAATGAATTTTTCAAAAAATAAAAAAATGATTAAGAACAAATTTTTAAACAAATTATTGTTGTAGAGACTATCACTCCCTTCTCTCCCACCTTTATAATCAATTTGGATTTTTTTAAAATCAGAAAACACAATTATGTGACATAAAAATTGAAATTTTGTTTGAATAAGTGAATTCCTTCATAATTACTAGTAAAAATGAGCAAGAAATATAATATTAAATACATAAAATCTTTTGTGGATATATATTTTAATAATTCTGATAATAAAATATACGAATTTGAACATTTAAACATTTATTTTTCATTTTTTTAATCGAAAATACGCTTGGGATATCAGAGCGTCTCTTTCTCGCGCAGGTACTCGTATGACGCTGTCTCTGTCGCTCCTACAGCGGAGCGACCGAAAGTGACTGCGCATTTATTTCGATAAATATACATATATATAATTTTTTTTTTGTATAGTTCTTGAACGTACAATGTTTTTCATCACTATACTCGAACGAAAAACTCGGTATTATTATTAAAAATATTTTTTTAAGCGAAATTCATAAAAATCCAATAATTTTGGCAAATGAATTGTTAAAAATGTTTGTAAAAAATTTACAAAAAATTTGAGACAATGATAATGATCCAACCTTCAAAACAAAAAAAAATTTTTCAAGAAATATCGATTTTTGACTGATTTACAGTCATTTGTCTATAACGCGACGCGCGCGCGGTAGCGCGCTCCGACAATCAATTGTTAATATCTCGAAAACTATTGGTCGTAGAAACAAAAGTAAAAAACCATTTTGTTCGTCGTTCAATTCTCTAAATAACTTACGCTATATGTCTCGATAACTTCTCAATAGTTTACGAGATATTTCAATCAAAAGCTGCCTATCCAAGGGGTATTTTGTTAATAAACAATGATCTCATCTTGGCTTTAGGCCACATTTTATTTATATGCTCTCCCGAGTATTTAAAAAAAAAAATCATGAAAATCGGTCACTAACTTGGTAAAGTCACCGACAAACTCGATTTTTCACGCCCACCGACTGGACTATTGTCACCAAACGCAACTCTGCGATTGATCACCTCTGGAGGGATTCCCCGCCGTGTTATTAGGCTCTAGCGTTGCCGGATCGAGATACCNCATAAATATTTAGCAATTGACCAAGAGAAGTGCAAATGATTATGATGTGAAAAGGTGAAACGATTCCATTACTGTTAACGAGGCTTCTCAATATGACGCTGAAGTTAGCAGCCGACTTGGCAGCAGAACAGGGGCGTATCATGATTCCCTGGGGCCCAGGGCACACATGATTCAAAAACCGGGGTAAAAATCAATTATCGACATCGGAAAATGTTCAGACACTACTCCTCTGCATTCATGAAGATTCTTACCCCTCTGGAGCCATTACTTGTTGATGTTTGAGGGGTGCAAAAATTGATTTTCCTTGAAGTGAAAGAAAAATCAATTGTTGGCTCCAAAACACTCAAAACCACCAACAAATTTCCATTGAAAGATATTCGGAAAGACTTCCTCAACCCCCAGAAAAATAATCAAGTCTTTCAGAGTGGTCCAAGGAAGTGCTAGGGGGTGAAAAAATGGAATTTTCGCGTATTTCAGGGGG